CTGGGAACCACCCTTGAAAACCACTGGCCTGGTTCATCATCTTTTTATCTGCTTAGACAGACAACCCGGGCAAGCTACCTCATGTTACCAGCGCCATTCGGCTGCACCGACTCTCAGGCTGGAGCTGGAGATTTGGAATTCCTTTTTCCCTTTTAAAACCTGTTCTGCATATTTATCACTAAACACTAAGACAAGATCACCTTTATTACATATTTCTTGGGAACTAGATAATCCAAAGATCGACTCCAGTTATTACCTTCTAACCAGACAACCCCAGATTCTATTTACACTTTTTCAGGTTATTGCATGTAATCGCAGACTTGAGGCTTCTAACGCTCGCAGAACACTCGAGGCTCACCCTTGCCCCTTTGAGTCAAACAATGCTCTAATGAAGTCATTCACATGCATTCAAACTTCGCACATTCCTTATAGACAAGTTTGGATGTGTTCCTCCCCCCCCTCCCCCCGCATCGTAAAAATGAGAGCACTGTGCTGTCCTGAACTCGCGTGCAGATTGTTCATAATGACTGCCGGGCAGCTGAATCTCAAGGAAGGGGTGGCTTTCACGTCTGCTGCATGACATTATTGGTAGTAAGAACAATTTAGGTCTAAATCGACTGTCTTATTTTTCCCCTGTCCTAGCGAGCTCAGAAGGATGCCCATGATACAGGCAGAAACGGCCCATTGTTTCCCTCGCAGGCATTTCCACTAAGACTTCTTGGTTTTTCCTCAGTGTGCACACATCTTTGCGTCTTTACTAAGGATCATTCTGCCCTGACAGTGATGTCTGGACCCTCGTCTTGGTGAAGGTGCGTTGGACCTCCCTCAGGATTTTTTTTCACTTTTGTTCTCAACGTTGTGCTGCCAGCCCTGTGGCAACATCCTGGTTGAGTCCAAACTCCAACTGGCAGAGGTAAAGTGAGTCCTTCCTTCTTTTATTGGCCTCATCATTTGGCAGTCCCCAAGCCTTACTCTTTGAGCAGGTATGTCTCTGACACATCTCGTCTGGTCTTCAGTCATGGCCCCACCCAGGGTCCTCTGGACCTCCCCATTCCTGACTACCTACAGAAGAGCTTCCAAGCCTGAGTCACCCCACACACCATCCCAGGGTCTCCTCCACTGACAACTTTCATGCTTTATGGCTTATTGAATCCAAATCAACTTTTGGAACGTTCTACACATTCTGATGTTACTATTTTACTTAACTTTTTAAAATATTCGTTTTTGATTTACACTTGTGTGTGTGCCTGAGTGGGTTTATGTGTACCGTGTACATGCAAATGTTCTCAGAGCTCAGAAGGTATCATAGTCGCTGAGCTGGAGCTGCAGGTGGCTTGCGAGCCACCTGATATGAGTGATGGGGAGACCTAACTTGGTGCTCTTAACTGCTGAGCTCTATCTTACTTCTTTAGAAAAGTCGTGTGTATATATGCGGTGTGTGTGTGGAGGGACACCAAGGCCACAGCACATGTGTAGAGGTCACAGCACATGTCTTGAGGTCAGTGGGCAATCCTGTGGAGTCATTTCTTTCTTCTCATTCCAGGACTGAACTCTCTTTGCTAGGTTTGCATGGTAAGCGCCTTCCCTTCTGAACCACTGTTGTGGAATATTAGTTTCGCTATGGAAAGATGTGGTGTGCTTGTTTATGCTGTGGAATATCAGCTTAACTACGTGAAGATATACTGCGATGGTTATGGTGCATTTGGCGATTCTTTAAGAGTGTGTTGCTTTTTTTCATGCTGTATTGTCTAACTACGTAAGGATATGTTGCAGTTTCACCTTGCCTGCTTAAGGTACCTGATTGGTCTAACAAAAAGCTGAATGGTCAATAGCTAGGCAAAGGAGAGAAAGGCAGGGCTGGCAGGCAGAGAGAAAAGGGGAGCCAGCCAGCCAGCTGGGGACCAATCAGCCAGACATGGGGGAAGCATGATGAACAGGATGTAGAGGAGGGGAAGGAGCCTTGGGACAACTAAAAAACCATAAAAAAGCTGGAAGCACGCATAAGCTAAGGTTGAGCATTCATAATTAATAATGTCTCCATGTCGCGATTTGGAAGCTGGCGGTCCAAGAAAGTCTGCTACGCGCCATGTTACTGGTCCCTTAGTTTACTTTAAAAAATAACTACTTTTACTATTTTGAATTATGTGAAAGCATGTGTGGTTGCATGTAGACACGTGCATGGGAGTGCAGGTGTCTGCAGAGGCACCAGATCCCCTGAATATGGAGTTGCTCTTGCTGCAGAACCCTCTTCAGTCCCCCGAGTTTACTTTGGAAACAGGCTTTCACATAAGCCAGAATGGCATCGGACTTGTTATGTAGCCAAGGATGATCTTGAACTTCTGTTTGCTTGCTCACTGTGAGCTCTGGCTGGTCTGGAACTCACAGAGATCTGCCTGCCTCTGCCTCCCAAATTCTGGTACTAAATAAAGACTTGTATCACCACACCCAGCTGACCTTGAACTTCTGATCCTCCGACCGACCTCCAGTTCTTACTGAGATTGGAGGGCTGTACTGTCATTCTTGGTTTTATTGGTGTTGAGGATCAAACCTACGGCTTCAGGCATTCTACCGTCTAGTTCACATCTCCAGCTGTCCTTGGCTCAGTTTTTTTTCTTTTTATTAAGACAGGAGTCAGTGAGATGGCTTGCAGTGGTTCTCAAATGTCCTAAAGCTGCAGCCCTCTAATACAGTTATGGTGACCTCTCCAATCATACAATTATTTTGTTGCTACTTCATAACTAATTTTGTTACTGTTATGAATTACAATATAAATATTTGATATACAAGATATCTGATATTCATCCCCAAAGGAGCTGTGACCTCTAACCACTGGTTTAGAGAGTAAGTATTGCGACTCTCTGAAGACCTGAGCTCTATTCCTGGAACCTACGTAAAGGTAGGAGAGAAACAGCCCTACAAACTTGTCTTCTGACACCCACGTTTGAATTGTTTCAGGTATGTACGTGCCCAAACACATGTACCACACATGCATGTGCACATATGCACTGGTAGTAAATGAAATTGAAAATTTAAATATGTGTCATTTATTTATTTATTTTGGTTTTTCAAGAAAGGGTTTCTCTATGTAGTGCTGACTGTCCTGGAACTTGTTCTAAAGACGAGACTGACTTCAAACTCAGAGATAGCTTACCTCTGCCTTCTGAGTGCTGGGATCACAGGGATTCACCACCACTGCCCAGGCCGTGTATTTTATTTTATTTTAAAGATAGGTTCCGGGTAAGTTTCCCAGGTTGGTCATTTTGTAATCCTTCTGCTTCCCCCTCCTGTGTAGGGGATTAAAGGTGTATGCACAGCCAGCCTCCAAGTGCTGGGATTAAAGGCGTGCCACCACCACCACCTGGTTCATAGATGACCTTGAACATGTGATCCCCCTGCATTCCTGCAGAGATCACAGGCGTGCAGCACCATGCCCTATTTAGGTACAGCTAGGGATGAACTCAGGGTGTCCTGCATGTTAGGCAAGCGCTCTGCTAACTGAGCCACATCCCTTAATTGGAGTCAGAGAAATCTCATGACTCTCACATCTTAAACAGTTATGCAAATTTTATGATCTCCTCCATCCCCATCCCCCTCCCACCCCGTTTCTTTTGAACAGAATCTCAATGTGCAGCTTTGAGTGGTCTGGAATTCATTATGTAAACCAGTCTGGCCTCAGAAGCACAGAGATTCATTCACCTGCCCCTTCGTCACAAATGCTGGTATTGAAGGCCGATGCCACCATATCCAGCTATTTTTGTTTTAATGTGTGTTTGACAGACACCTATACACATAAAAGTAATAAAGCAAAAATAATTAAAGAATTAAATTTTAAACTGGGCAGTGGTGGTGTACACCTTTAATCCCAGCACTTGGGAAGCAGAAACAGGCAGATCTCTATGAATTTGAGGCCAGCCTGGTCTACAGAGTGAGTTCCGGGACAGGCTCCAAAGCTACAGAGAAATCCTGTCTCGACCCCACCCCCACCCCAAAAATTACTTTCACAACTATTAGTGCTCTCTAGTAAGCTGGAATACTTAACATGATCTCAGTATTTAGTTGTACATGGCTGCTGGCAATGGCTCTTTGCTATTGTGATCTGGTAGAGTAGTATTCCAACTCGGTTTCTTGGGCCAGAGCATCAGTACCGCGTTATTTACTGGGGTGAAAATGTTCACTTGCTATCTGGAGAAGCCTTCCAACTCACTGTGATGCCGCTGAAATTTGAAGAAGTCTTACTTACCCAACACTTAGTAACCGCCCCGCCCCATTGGCGGTTGGACCAAGGGTTTCAAAGGTGCCAGGCGAACGCTCTACCACTGAGCTATGTTCTCAGCCTTGCACTTCGTTTTCTCATGCAAGTAACGTATACGTTTAAAACAAACAAAAGCGTACTGTTTCTGAAAATAAAACTACTGAAACAGGACTTTAACCCTAAAGGTACGTTTACTAGAATTCTGCTAAGAAATAGATTTTTCATTCAGGCTTTTAAGAGCAAGCAGGAGCAGACTTAGTTAAATCACTTGTCGCCCCCGGGTGGCATATTCTAAATATCGCACCCAATATCATTTAAAAACACAGAAATGGCACGCTGTGCTCTTCCTAATTGCCCCTATTTACTAATTCAGGCTAATAGCGCCCCTCACAGACTTTCTCCCCAAGTAACTTCAATTATGGTTTCAAAAGACCTAGTTTGGCACGTTACTAATAGGAGATTCTTTAAGAATTCTTTTTTTTTTTAAAGAAAAAAAATCTTTGAACACACACACTCGGAAGGCAGAGGCGGGCCGATCTCTGTAAATTCGAGGCCAGCTTGGTCTACAAAAATTGACTCCGGGACAGGCTCCAATGCTATAGGGAGATCCTATCTCAAAATACCAAAAACGAAAAAAAAAAACCATAAAAATGGTACCAGCACCCGAGCCACACAACAGCCGTACGTACACAGTTAGGATGCATAGTTAAACGAAACCAAACTGACTTTGAACCAAAAATAAAAAGAAACCACTCAGACTGCATTCTCCCCCTCCACTCTCCCAAAGAGAGAGCAGAACGATCATCAATGGCAGGTAGCAGTTGCACGAAGCAACACTAAGAGCCGGCTTCACGCTCAGGGGAGAATGCTCTGTCTCCTCCTCGTGGTTTCGGGTGCTCTACACAGTCAGAGAAACTTCTCTAGTAACGAACTATAGAAATGATCCCTGAAAGTATAGTCTTAAAGTTCCTGCTGTCCACCGCTGTCTAGTCACATCTGGCAGTACATTTTACACTGATGGTGACATTGCATCAGTCCATTTCCCCGGCTCCGTCGCCGCCGTCGGTAATATTCTCTCCGAAGAAATAGCAGACACATGTATTTTCAAAGTGATATTCATACTTTCTTTGAAAAATAAATCATTCTAAATATTATGAATTGTAAGGCACTCAAATTTAAAGTTCTAATTAGCATATTACGGGCAACAGCCAATCACGCTAGTGTATTCAGGCAAACAAAACCGCTTCCGGTCCAGTTTAAAGATAAAGGGTGTGTGCGGCTTCTCAGGTTGCATTTTGTTGAGACTGGTTTTGCTTAGTAACCTTTGCTCTTCGGTTTCCACCCAGCCCCAGTCTTCCCAGTGCAACATTCGGTAGCATCAGCGCTGGACGTACTAGCCTACACTTGGTGCTAGCCAGCCTGGCCTTGGATTTACATTAATAATCCTGCTTTAGCCTTCTTAGCAGCTGCTGGGATGACAGTGTAGGCAAGCACTTGGTTCTCCAGGCTTAAATGCGACACGCGATGTACGTGAGGTTTAGTTTCTAGCTTAATCCGGCAGGGAGGGAGAGGCAGATGCTTGCGTGCATGCTCTGCTACTCACTGAGTTCTGGGCAGCCTGAGCTCTACGAACCACGTTCTCCCAAGGGGGTAAAAAAAAAAATCGCAATTCCCCAAGCTCGAAAGCTCGCAGTGTGCAGAGCCTTCCCGTAGCTCTTCTGCGGACGCCTGGCGTGGCCATCTTGCTTTCTGGCGAGGCGTTCGTGCGTCGTGAGCGGCAGTAGCCGGATATGGGGCACCGCTGCCCGTATCCAAGATGGCGGCCCCGGGTGGGCGTGGCCAGTGATGGCGTCTCAGAGCGTGCGAGCTATGGCGGCTGCGGTGGATCCGAGTTGGGAGGACGAGGATGAGGAGGAGGAAGAGGAGATAGAGGAGGCTGTAAGCGTGGGTCGAAGGCCTTCAGCATTGGCGGTCATAGCTGTGCCAAGCCCGGTTGGGGAAAAGAGTCCCGGATGCGGACGGCGGGAGGGAGGCCCGGAGACTGCTCCCTCTCAGACCCTGGGGCACGAGAAGCGGGGAGCTCTAACCCCAGTACTAGTCTACCCATTCTAGAAAGAATAGAGACGGTCTTGGGAGTTCCGCGGGTAATCTGCTTCCACCAGAGACTACATCCAGTTTACACAAAGGTGGCATCGTTAAATTTTGATTTGGGGCATTTCTGTTTATTGTCCCTTGCTCACTGGCAGTGTACCATACTAACTTTTCTTTCTTTCGCCAGGAGCAATTTGTTCTGGTAGAGTTGTCAGGAATTATTGATTCAGACTTTCTCTCCAAATGTGAAAATAAATGCAAGATTTTGGTGAGTCTTAGAATTTGGGCAATGTTGTAGATTTTCATTCTTTCGAGTTCAGCGAATGTTGTAGATTTTCTTTTCCTTTCTTCTCTCTCTCTCTCTCTCTCTCTCTCTCTCTCTCTCTCTCTCTCTCTCTTCTCTCTCGTTTTTTTCAAGACAGAGTTTCTCTTTGTAGCCCAGACTGTCCTGGAGCTTACCGTGTAGACCAGACTGGCCTGGAACTGAAATCTTCCTGCTACTGCCTCCTGAGTGCTGGGATTAAAGGAATGTGCCACCACCGCCTGGCATTTTTCTCATAGTTAAAACAGGAATGAAGGGGATGGACTTATCCACAAAAATAAATATGCTCATTCCACCTTACAAAGCTTAAGGGACCGTTCTAGAGGAACAGGGTAATGGGTGATTCTATGGAGTAAGGAAATGCCTGCTTCGTTGCCTGAATGTATGGCTGGAGAGAATGTAAAGAGCAAAAGATAACATTTTGTTTGGAACTTTGGACAAAAGCCTCATCCAGTGCTGTACCTAAGCAGAGCCTGTCTTCTTTCTAGTAGGCCTAGCCTCAGTTCCATCCTCCAGTGGTACCACAGTCAAGAGTACTAGTCTGGTCCCAGACTCTGGTCTAAGTGTGGACATGTATACTGTGTGGCCAGGCCAGTTGCTCAGCACCCACGTTACCTGCTTCTCTCAAGTGTCTGCACATGACAACAGGCAGAGCCTCTGGTGTATCTCCATGGCTCACACCCAAGCCTCACCCATCAGACTATATGAAACAGCATGAAAGTTGGCTGTCGTGGTACACCCTGTAATGCCAGCATTGGAGAGTCTAAGACAGGCAGATCAGTGTTCAGTGACATCCTTAATGACAAAGTAAATTCTAGGCCAGCTTGAGCTACAGGGAGCCTTGTCTTTAAAAATCCTGAAGAAGCTAGGTAGTGGTGGGACACGCCTTTAATTTCAGCGCTTGGGAGGCAGAGGCAGGTGACTCTCTATGAGTTTGAGGCAGCCTCGTCTACAAACTGGGTTCCTGTAGAACCAGGACTGTTACACACAGAGGAAACTCTGTCTTAAAAAAACCAACAAGCCAGGAGGTGGTGGTGCATACCTTTAATCCCAGCCCTAGGGAGGCAGAAGCAGGCGGATCTCTGTGAGTTCACCCTCGTATACCAGAATGAGAGCCAGGACTACAGAGAAGCCCTGTCTCAAAAAATTAATAAGATAAACTTTAAAAAACAAAAGCAAAAACCCCCAAAACAGGGGCTGGAGAGATGGCTCAGAGGTTAAGGACACTGCCTGTTCCTCCAGAGGACCAATTCACATGAAATAAAGTTTTAAAAAATTAAAAAAACAAAAACCAGATTTGACACGTCTTTAGTACCAGCAGTTTAGAGGCAGAGGCAGGTGGACAGAGAAACCCTGTCTCAAAAAACAAAACAAAACAAAAAAGTAAACTTAAAAAGTGTGTAATAATTGTGTGTACACAACAGGTTTCATTCTGATAATCTTTTTTTTAGATGCATACAACAAAGATTTTTATTTCAATTATTCACAAAACAATATTGCAACATTTTATAAAAATATTAAGTCTTAGGTTATCATTATTTATTTAAAAAAAGTGTTTGTGCTAGAAGGCTGGTTTTGCCAACTCTTCTTTTTTGGTAAGGGTTAAAGTTCCAAGTTTAGACAAAAAAGATGAAAGCTGTTGGGAAAAAAAATCTTCAAATGTATAAAACTGTTTCTTTTCTTGACAGTTTAAAAATACATAGCAATTTAAACTGAATACACATTAAGTTTGTGTTGTATTCTTACAACACTAACTGCCCCATTCAATTCATTTAACATCTAAAGAATGTCATCAACTTTTCCTGCCTTATTTTTCTGATCAGAATTAGTATATAAACATAATTACCCTTTGAAGACTGCTTAGAAAAACTACTGATAATCTTATACATGCACATAATATACTCGATCATAATCACCCATCTCCCCTCGGCCTTCCTTTTCCCCAGTAGTTCCTGACAAGGGCTGATGTAATAGAGGATGGCCATGAACTCAAGTTTGTAGCTAAGGCTGTCTTTGAACTTGATTCTCCTACTTTTACTTCTTGAGTGCTAGGATTACCGGTATGTGCCACCATACCTGACATTACTTTTCTTTCTTTCCTTTTTTTTTTTTTTTGTGATTACATTTATTTATTTTTGTGTGTGACTGTATGCGTGCCACAGTATTCCTGTGGAGGAGGTCAGAGGACAGCTTGTAGGAGTCAGTTTTCTACTTCCACCATGTGGGTTCTGGGGATTGAACTCAGGTCATCAGGTTTGACAGCGAGCACCTACCTGAGTGATCTTGATGGCCCTTGAGATTTTGTTTTGTTTTGTTGTGTGTTTTTTTTTTCTTTTTTTGGAGACATGGTTGCATATGTAGCCTGAGCTGGCCCCCGATCTTGCCATCCTGGAACTCATTCTGCAGACTAGCCTGGTGTCAAGCTCAGATGGCCTGTCTTTGCTTTCCAGGTGCTGGGATTAAAGGCATGCCCCACCACACCTGGTCCAAAGAGCCCTGGCTGTCCTGGAACTTGCTCTGTAGATCAGGCTAGCCTCTGCCTCCTGAGTGCTGGGATTAAAGGCATGCCCCAACACACCCAACTCCGAGGGCATTTTTAGGGGGTTGGGGGTGGTTCAAGATGGTTTCTCTGTGAAACAGTCCTGGCTTGTCCTGGAACTCACTTTGTAGACCAGGCTGGTCTCAAACTCACTGACAGAGTGTCCACCTCTGCCTCTTGAGTGCTGGGATTAAAGGTGTGCACCACCACCACCTGGCTTCAAGGGAAATTTCCTAATGATGGTATTTTATGCCCTTTAATCTGTTGTAGGGAATTGACACTGAGAGGCCCATCCTGCAAGTAGACAGCTACGTGTTTGCCGGGGAGTATGAAGGTAGGAGGATGCGGATCTACAAGCTCCTTTGTCATATGGCTTTCAGAGTATTTCTGCTATCTCTCCTAATTTGCCTTACATTTTCCTGCAGATACTCTTGGGACCTGTGTTATATTTGAAGAAGGTGTTGAACGTGGTAAGTCATTGCTATGCTAGACTAATTCTCTACAGATTATTTCGAATTTACTGTGTGTTTTGATTTTTGTTTTTTGTTTTATTTTATTGTTGCTTAATATCAGGTCAGCTGTAGCTCAGACTGGCTTTGAACTCACAATCCTCCTGCACCCTTAGTGCTGGGATTATAGCCTCGATACACAGTAGCACGAATTCTAATGGTTCTTAATAAAAACCCTGAGCCAGATATTAGGGAGTGAAAGCCAAGAGGTCAGAGAAGCCGTGCAGCCAGTCGCTAGAGAGGTCTTCTGCCTCTGCAGACGCCTCAGACCAAGAGGACAATCCTGTCCCCTGACTGCATACTCAGACCGCACTGAGCTCCTGTCTCCTTCTGCCTTTTTTTTTTACATTTTTTTTTATTTTGTTGATATTTATTGAGCTCAACATTTTTCTCTGCTCCCCTCCTTGCCTCTCCCCTCCCCGCTTCAATCCTCCCCGAAGGTCCCCATGTTCCCAATTTACTCAGGAGATCTTGTCTTTTTCTTTCTACTTCCCATGTAGA